GGGTTTTTTTTTCCGGGGGGGGGGGGGGGTTCTGGTTGCTGTTTATGGTGATTCGGGCTGTTTTTGGATGCAGGTACTTCATTCTGACATCATACTGAGGTAAGACCTTTAACGAACAACAAATAAACCAATTTACATAAAAACATAAGTGGAAGAAAGCTAAATAGCGGCATCTGAGAAGGGGTGGCACATGCAAGGCCATGTTTCAGCATGAGCTGTTACGTGATGCCTTTGTCATTCAGGCATGCAGTAAAAGCATCATAAATGGTTAAGCTGTTGAAATGACATCACCAGATTCCCTCTCTCCCAGAGTTCCATTAGATCAATCAAAGGAAAACCGACCCGTGCTCCTTCTACATTGTGATCAAGCAAAGATTTGACTTTGATTGTGTACAGGCCTTTTGTAATTAAAAAAAAAAAAAAGTTACACACTTCAGAAATGTTGTCCTAGGAAGCCCCTAAAGGGACATAGCGAATAAAAAAAAAAAAGGAAATAAGAGGAAAAGTTACATTGAATTATACATTTTGTGTTCTCTTGCAAAACGTTCACAACGTGAACGCAAACGTAAATGTTCACAAAATATAAGGTGGAAGGAAAAATCATAGTTAAGTGCTTTTGATAATGAACACAAAGCTTCTCTAAGAATGCAATCATTTTTGCAGGGGAACACAAATATTTTGCAAAAAAATGCAAAGTTTCTCTGAGAATAAAATCCAAAACTTTTGCAAGTGAACGTAAAGGCATTTACATTTTTTTTCTTTCTCCTACCTCATATTTTTACTTTCCATTACCATGTCCCTTTAGGGGCTCCGTAGTTTCTTAAGTTTTTGATTTTTTTTAATGTTTTTTTTTTTTTCACACCAATGACAATAACTATTACAATAACAAAAAAGATGTAGTTTTAGCAGAGTCCGCACCACAACTTATAAAGATAATGGCACAGAGGAACAATATCTTTGGAATCACTTTCTAGTTCTTTTCTTGCTGATGAACGACAAAAACAATCTATTCTGCTTGAGCATTTAAAGCAGCAGACAACATAACTGCAGTTTGTGCTTATAATAAAGTGAAGTGTGAAACGTGAAAGTGATGTGACATGTGGCCAAGTATGGTGACCCATACTCGGAATTAGTGCTCTGCATTTAACCCATCCAAAGTGCACACACACAGCAGTGAACACACACACACCGTGAACACACACCCGGAGCAGTGGGCAGCCATTTATGCTGCGGCGCCCGGGGAGCAGTTGGGGGTTTGGTGCCTTGCTCAAGGGCACCTCAGTCGTGGTATTGAAGGTGGAAGAGAGCACTGTACATTCACTCCCCCCACCTACAATCCCTGCCGGTACGAGACTCGAACCCGCAACCTTTGGGTTACGAGTCTGACTCTCTTACCATTAGGCCACAACTCCCCCACATAAACAATGTTATCGTGCACTGGTGTGGACGCTTAATACAGTATAGATATTGTTATAGTTATTATTCTTGGTCAGAACGGGCCTTAAGTATACAGTCTCTAGTACTACTGCAGAAATGTATTTCATTTTAAATTTAAACTAATTTTAATCAAAAATCTACACTGATATTTAAGATATTTTACTGAATTTTTTTTTTAAACTCAGAAACAAAACAATTTTTTGACCTTTTCAATTTCAATAAGCCAAAACAGCTTTTTTTTGTTTTTTGTTTTCACTATTGATCTACAGAAAAGCATAGTAAAGGACCTGCACTGTAAAAAATTATCATGATTTTAACTGTAAACATTTTTAAAAATGCTACGGCAAAAACCTGTTAACTGGTTAACAGTAAGTTTCCTTATAAATGGGGATTAACTGTAATAAACATAACATTACAATGTATTTTTTAACTGTAAAGTTCTGACAACTACAGCTGCCAGGTTTTTTTGTGTAAATTTCGCAGATCTTTTTACAGTAGGGGTGCTTCAGAGAGCACCACAGTTGTCACTTTATAAACAATAACTAACTACTAAAAATTATGAATTTGAGATCATTATAATACACACACACAAAATGGCATGTACACTGTGACCAGAGAAAAAAATTGGACTTCCAAAGCATCCAGGCCTCCAGTTACGGGGTGCGATACTTGCTGTCGGGTTATTGTAAACATAAAGCAGAGCACCCAGGTTTGCCACACCCACAGGATGACCCTGTCAGCCCGCCCGTCTGAGACGACACAGGCGCGTGCTGATGACATCACTGCCTCACACCCTGGTGTCTGTAGGCACAAATCAGCGAAAGCACTTCTCGGCAAACCCCCTGGTCGGGCAGCTGTAAAGGTGTTAGGCAGTTATTCTCCTCCCCCAGCTCTCCTAAACAAATTACCACTCGTAAAAACTGACAGATATGAAACCTGAGATTGAGCAGGAATAGAGTGAGGGGGGAACGCCGCAAACCACATGATGTGTGGGTGTGTGAGGTCTGCTCTGAGCGCTGTGTATGTCTTCCCTTTCATTCAGCACCTCCTCGCTTATCTGAAATCCCTGTCTTTCGAGATATGCCCTCCTGCATTTACATACTATGATAACTACAGCTTTTAAATCTTTACCATTGTTGCTTTGGATTCTAGTCTCCTCTAGTCTCTGTAGTAAATTTCAACTATGCGGAGTTGTATTAACCTTAGGTCTGGCATTGAAACAGCAGTGTGGCGTGTATGTGTGTGTGTGGGGGGGGGTGCTGCATGGGTGAGAAGCTGGGAAAATGTCTACAGACTGGGCTGTGCTTCTAACATGGCGTTGACCCAGCTGAGCCACTGCGGCCCACACAGCAAAGACCTGCGGTCCACTGCAACCCCATTTTGACTCAACCATCATTTTTGCGAAAATGACAACTAATTAAATGTATTTATAAAGCAGACAGTGAGGCAATATTTTCATTGGAGTTACCTGGCAACCAGGGATTGGGCCAGGGTTCTGGACAGGTCGGGGGGAGTCTGGTCAGGCCAAGTGTAGCATTGTGAGGTCATATCTCCAAGTGCTGGCACTAAGGATGGGAATTTTGACTGATGAATGTCGCACAGCCAAACTCAGGGTCCTTTCTGACATCATACCGCATTATGAACCTCCAGAGAAGCGTGTAAGGCTCACACAGCTGCGGGTGCCAGTACAGTAGGAACAGCCATAAGTTTGAGGTCAAAGCAGGGCCATGACTAACTCAACATAATGAAATGTTATACACAGCAGTGGCTATTTCTGTCCATTACTGTTCCATTTAAAATTGTATTACTGGACTATTCTGTGCTTTTAATGTTGCAAGGCAACATGGTAACACTACATTAATAGCATTTATTAATCTTGGTTAATGTTGATTTCTAAAAATAATTTCAGTTTTTCTTTTTTAATAAATCTGCAAAAATGTCAACAATTCTGTGTTTTTCTGTCAATATGGGGTGCTGTGTGTACATTAATGAGGAAAAAAAAATAACTTAAATGATTTTAGCAAATGGCTGCAATATAACAAAGAGTGAAAAATATTAAGGGGGTCTGAATACTTTCCGTACCCACTGTACATAAATAAATTAAACAGAAATATACTAAAATACTTAATACATAACATCACTACAGTTCAAACATTTGGGTTCAGAAATCATTTTATTCAGCAAGATTTCATTTAATTGATCAAAAAGTGACAGTAAAGACATTTATAATGTTACAAAATATTTTTAGTTCAAATAAATGCTGCTCTTTTAAACTTCAAAGAATCAAGGTTTCCACAAAAATATTAAGCAACAATCATTTTCAACACACATATCTATATATATATATATATATATATATATATATATATATATATATATATATGAGCGCGGGACTATACATGTG